CAAATCGTTTAATAGCTCTTAAAGTTGGATTTCCTGCTATCAATTGGAATTGTCGTCAATTACGAATATTATCTACAAATAATGCCGATAAAATGACATCGGAAACATGTAAGTGTGTTTTTAAATGGACTGTCCTACTTTATTACTAGATTGATAAATATACATTACAGGGTTGTTGTGAAGATTGTTAAATTTTATTTGAAACCATGAATCGATCAATGTTAGACCATCATTAGAAACCTGGAAGCACTGGACTTCCGTTTCGTCCTGGTATGGGACTCCTCAGCAGTGCTCAATCATGACTCCTGCACCCCACAGGACTCGAACCCAGGACCTTCGGTATTGTAGGCTCAGTGGTCCGATGGTTAGGCGTTCGCCGTGGATGCGCACTGCTGATAGATATACATTGTATTTAATGAGGAACTTTGCGAATTCATATCGGAAAATTTTATACACATCATATAACCAAAGGTGTGATACGCAACATAACCAATGAGTATTTAATACCATCCAGATTATCGGAATTTCAAATCACTAGTGTTGATCATAGTTCCTGAGGAGTTTAAAAGCATTCCACTTCTGATCTTTGTTTTCTGCGTTAGAGTCTGTTGCGTCTACTGCAGTCTGTACTGTAGTATAGACTGATATAATGCCCTAAAATAATCACCGTAATAATTCATAGTATATCTATGTGGAAATGATTAGGAAATGCACAGCAATCGAGTTTCAGCTATTCACATTTTGTACTAGATCTGATGAGAGAGACACTTACAGCTGAAATTCTAAATAGATAAGTTGAAATTTGAACTTTTAACCTAAAAGTTGACAGTCGTACACACTAAATATTGACAAACCACTAACTAAAAAGTGTACACCTTGTCATAAAACATCCATTTGCAAAGCAAGCGTATTCTTGGCTGCCTTATTCTACAGATCTTCTGTTCTTCAAGACATTCTGATCTTGTTATCCAGTACTATTCTCTTCAGTGGTAACTTCAAGGCGCATAACCTCAGCTGCATATCCATTGCATTCTGCTTATAAACCTGATTGTAAGTAGTGCACACAACACTACAACTGTTATTGTGACTGTAGAATAAACTGCTATTTATTCAACCGAATAATATTGATAATGGATTAATGCAAAAAAAGTAGAATACAAAACTCCTAACGAAAAACTTTATTTTTGCACTAAGTGTTGATTATGTCACTGATTGATAACTCGTCCTTAACTGATCAAAATTTACAGATATATATATATATATATATATATATATATATATATATATATCACGTCATTTTTAAATATTTATTCAATCAATAAATTTGAAAATCATTTTGGCGTTTTGAAAGTTGTTGGGTTTCATTTAAACCATGCATCGATAATTGTTAGACCGCCGTTAAAACCTGGTGTGGGACCCATCAGTTGAGGTGGTTGGGACATGACTAACTATCGACTGCCTCGACGAACTATGTTTCTCTGTGTAGGAGTAGATTGGAAGAAAGCTAGGGGCGGCCAAACCAAAACACGGCAGAAAACCATGAAGTCACTAACAAGTGGACTGAGTCATGTCGGTAGTTGTCGACTAACCTGGTTGGGGTCCGCGAGACGAAAGTCACCAATGGTTAGAGACCTTGAATGACATGGCTCAGAATCGTTCGCAATGACGCAGGTGCATCCACTCTTTGTGTGCTTTTTAATTCTAAACTTCTGTATTCCTCATAATCTCTATCTTTCCCCTTCTAAATTTATCTCACTGAATTATACTTTTCGAATCATATCTTCGCTCCTTAATCTTCTCCATTACTGCTAATACTTCTACTATCGCTATCACTGTTGGATTTGAACTGACAATCGTGTCTGTGTGCTGATGTGGTATGGCAACCTGAACCTAAACTGATGTACTTACGTACGAAGTTCTGTGTTGTATCTGTCTGTCTGTCTGAGGGATCATGGCTACGCACTGCTGAAGAGTCCCTGCCTAGGAAGAAATTATCATTCAGTGCTTCCAGATTTACACTGGGTAGTCTAACATTTGTAATTTAAACAGAATTCTAATTAATAGCTAATAACACTAAACAATGAATCGTGCAATGTATATGCGTGTGTACGCCTAATAACTTCACTGTTTTATTTTAACTCATAAATTTGACTAAATTATCCAAATGATCTGTTTTTCTTATTTTAAAAAAAAATATGAAAAATAATAACTGAATTATCCTAGCTGAAAAATAAAACGAAACAGGAGTCATAAAATAATAGTAGCAGATAAAAAAAAAACTAAATACTCATGAGAAAATGTGAAATTTTAATCGTTATCAGCAGTTATAAAATGCTGTGAAAAAGAGGCAACAGAAAATGACCATAAAAATAAACTGTTGTGTGTGTGTGTCTGTAAGGGATAGATGCAGCGTTTACTACATCTACACCACACTGTATACTTTATTCAGTGTGAAAGAAATGAAATTTTAGACTAACGTGTGATATACAACAGATGTGCTTAGTGCATTCATTTTAAGTGGTATTTATAGATGAAAACAAAGAACTCACTAATAAATATTTTATGGACTAACGAATATTCACAAATGGACGACTTATGAATAACGATGTAAAAAGAGAAAATAGCATGATCAGCAATCATTACGATAAGAAGCATGATTAATGTTTATTAGTTCAGAAAAAAAAACTGTCATTAATTATAAATTATTATTATTATTATTATTATTATTATTATTTATACCCTATTTTCTATTACTTTTTTTTTCGCGAAAATAATCCTACTTAAGGTTGTTTCTAACCTTATCTCACTGAATTATACTTGTTGAATAATATCTTCAAACCCTAGTCTTCTTCATTACCATTAATACCTCTACTATCGTTATCATGATGGGATTTGATTTGACATTTTCGTCTCTGTGCTAATGTGGTATGGCAACATGAACTGATGTACTTACGTACGAAGTTCTACGTTGCAACTGACTGACTGATATATATAATTCACAATGTTTTCTTATGTTCACCTTTTCGATTTGCACACTATTTAACTATTAATTAATTGAAATAATCTTCTGTCAATAAAAAATATACATACATTGTTTGAAATGATTACATTTGTGAAACTCAACATGGCGGTTGACACTGATCATTATGAATAAATGTTATTACATTTAGTCAAGAAACATATTATATATATATATATATATATATATATATATATATATATATATATGTTGGGGATGTTAGATCCTCAGAACTCGGTTTATAAATGCCTTATTTTGGATTTCACGTTTGCCAGCATGGGCTGATCAGTTGACCTTGAGATTTCATTTCTCACCAGGAAAATCCATGGCTGTGATTGGCTGCTGTGTATTTCCATGTGCTATCTTCATAACTGTCACAAGGACATTTCTATGATGTATAAATAAACGAGAGTTGTATGCTTGATTGTATTGAGTGATTGCTGAGTGTTTGTACTTTACTTTATACGCTTACAAAGCCTTTTGTCTTCAGTTTGAGATTCAAGTTAGCCTATCTGGACGCTGGTAACTGTCTCGTTCGCGTTTATCGACTGAGGTGAACTCGTAATAGCTTCATGCATACCTAGTGACGAACCTTACAATATGTGGAGATCAATCTAAGATATTGCTCAGACTCAAAGTTAGTCATTTACACTGTGTTGGATGCCAGCTCAGTGGTTTAGAAGCTAAGCACTGACGCACAAGACCGTCCCCTGAGTTCGATTCCCGTGAGTGGAGGTCGTGGATGCGTACTGCTGAACAAAATGATTGTCTCGTGCTTTCAATTTTCTTTTGGTAGTCTAATAATGATCGATTCGTGATTTTTCAGATGATAACTTCATGAAAGATTAAATATAAGAGAGGAGAAACTTCACTTTCAACTTGAATGATTAATTGATTTGTACTTATAAAACCTCTCAGCCTACTGCTATTCCTAAATAATAATAATGTTAATAATAACTAAGCTTGTTGCTAAGATACGCTTTTGTGCTTAATCTGTATCGTAAAAATTTATTTGAATATATCAACTCTATGTATGATATACACACAATGCAAGCTAGTCTAACAGTGTTATTAAAAAAAAGAAAGAAGCCCTAATCGTTTAATTTTTAAAAATAATCCTATTCAAAAGATGACAAAAAAGAAAACAAAACTGAAATACAATTATAATTAATTTCAACTATAAATTTAATCTACACACGTGTTTTTTTCTCTTACCTTGTTAAGGTTTCATAAAGTTCAATTGTTCAGTTGTAAAGTTGATTCTGTTTGTAGTCAAAATTTTTGTTTATATATGCGTGGGTCAATTGCGTAGTTTCTCAGTGGGCAATACAAAACTGTAGTGTGTCGATTTACTGCATGTTCTTAAGCTCGATAATTAGCTCGTCCAGACAATCTTTACTAACTAGCGTCTGACGGTTTATAAATCAGAAGATGAACTCGTAGTGTTGAATAGGTTTATTTGGGGCACACCACAAAGCGAAGTGGAGAAGCAGTGAATAAAACGAATGAAGTGACGTGAATTGGAGAAGGCTAATGAGCCAACTCAAAGAGGATAGCGCATGACTAAGAATATATAGTCAGACAAAAATGAGACAGACATGTGACCAACGAGATAGGCATGCACACACATGAATAAAAGCGACGAATGATTGACAAGGTCAAATGACAAGTGGAACACGTCATGTGAGCTCCTCATACAAACCAGACAATAATAAGAACGAATGGTATATATAAATTGTTGCAATACATAAGTGGCTTGGTTAAATAAATTAATCGAAAAGGGCTTAACCAAATTAAATGTAAGCGAACTCGAATACATGTGGAGACACTACAAATCAAAGCTTCAAACCGATTGCACACACTTGTGTATATACTGTGTTGTTTTTTTCTTAAACCGTATTTAGTCAGTATTTGTGTTTACGTTGAGTATTCGATATAATTATTTCTTTTTCCTTTTCATATTAAATATTATTCCTCATAGCTGTATTAGATTATAAACAAAGTATTTCAAAGAATAATGTTTGCTTAGAATTGCCAACACTTTCAGATGGATATCATGTTTCAAATACAGCCATGAAAGAGGTGAGTTTAAATGGAGTTGTAATTATTATTTCAAGTGTTCAAACGATGGAAATAGACCCGTATGTGCTTACGTGACTTATGGTTTTTTATTTCAATTAAAATTATGGAGATTAGTGTTTTTACACATTGAAATCATCAATCCATGTGCGCTGACTAGTGACTAGCTTCATGAGGAAATTCGTGGAGTTCTTCTATTGAGAAGACGTGACCAGTGGAGTTCAACCCTGTCGGGAGTAGGCACAGTAAGTGTCGAAAACAAATAGGCGTGGTCGCAAAAAATCCTTAGATTGATCAGAGTTAGATATTAACGCCGTAAGATGCCGGTCCAATGGTCCTGAGTTTGATCCCTCCGAGTAGCAGGAGTCGTGAATGTGCACTACTGATTAGTCCGATCACGGCATAAGATGCACATCTAGTGCTTTCAGGTTTCTAATGGTGGTCTAATAATGCTTATTACTTATTAAAATTATTGACATTATCAGTTGTTTCGCTCAATTTTCAATATTTGATCAGTATAAAATTCACTTACTTACTTCAGTTTTGCATTATCAGGTTACAATGACAAAATAATTTTAGAAAATAGTACATTAAGTAATGAATAAATCTTCTTTGGATTTCACAGCTTTTGGATACCTCGTTTTTCTTCTTCTTTACCGGTATTATTAGTATTAGTTGATTTTTAATTATTTTTCAACTCTTCCCTGTCTTGATCAAAAATTCGTTAACGTGAACTGAGATACATCATTGTTGCAAGTTCTACTTTATTTATGCACATCACAGAATTAATACTCAGCAGCGATTCGAAGACTTGACTTTTAATAATTGGATTGGAGGTTTCAAGCCGTCGTCCATCAATTTTGAATATAGTACCTGAGTAGTTTACAACGCCTCTGAAACTCAAATAATCTTTCATTTAGTCAATCAGTCACGTTAATTAATTGTTATTCCTAATTTTATTGATTCTTTAATGTGTTTAAGAACAATTTCTGTAAGACGAAGAAGGATTTGATTTTGGTCTTTCGTGTTGTT